GACCCGTCCAGGGTGTACCCCGCCCCTCGCACAGTGATTGCTGGACATGGGCACCAGCGACCCCCGTGACCCAAAATGGAATAAACGGGTAAAAGATAATGGATGGATATATATATATATATATAGTATATGTGTGTGTGTAAATTAACCACCATAATTATTTGAGGAATATATGCTTTCTTGTTTTCATATTGCTTAACGTTGTTTATAGTTTCCTCAAATTATTGGGGTGGCTTTAGATAATTATGAGGGGGCCAAGGCCACCATTGGCCACCCCCTGGCTCCTCCATTGCGCCTAGTGGTGGATAAATTTGCTCCCTCCACTGGCCAGGATCAGTCACTGCGCTGCCTCAGTCAAAATAAGCATAAAAAAATAAAATAAACTACCTCTTCTCAAAAACTGCACATGTTCACTGTTCAAACCATTCAGCGACGGGGACATCAGCATGCCACTTGTTTATCATCAAAATGCTCCTCAGGGAGTGACTTCACCTCCAACTTGTTTGATTCCCACTGGAAAAAATCATTTAGTTTTTATACCAGTCAGACGACTCAAACTGGGCGTGATTTACAGGTAACACCTACGAGTGAGGAAGGAAAGAAGGAAAACCAAAGAGAAGGGATGAATTCTTTAACACACCAAGGAAGTACTCAGGGAGCAGCTCAGAACTCTCCTGCCCTTCAGGTAAGTCCTAAAGGAAACATCTATACAGTGTGTATATTTCTGTATACATCTAAAATGCTTATGGTTTTGTTTCACCCAGGCTTCAGAAAACAATATCCCAGTGCAGTCCTTCTCCTTGTTGCCAAAGGCTGTCTCTGCTGTCATACATCCAACCGCCATCTCAGGCCCTCGACCCAGAGGCCCAGAGAACTCCAGCCCTAACCTGGAGCAGCTGCAGGCGGAGCTGAGACACCTGAGGGACCAGTTTGAACAAATGAAGAGTCAGCACAAGTGTGGCTTTTATTTTGTTAGCATTTTACACAGATAACCTTAGTTTTAGCATGTTCTCATGGCGTGTTTAGCCTTTGTTTAGTCTTTCTGCTGACGACTTCTTCCATGTTCCAGCAAAGAAATCAAGCTGCTAATGAACGAGCTCGACGAGGAGAAAAGGATTCGTTTAACTTTGCAGGTAAACGAACGAACGACGCCAACGTGTCTGTCGAGCTGTGAGATTTAGACCTGACGTGTGCCACCGTGTCCTGCGTGATTTTAGATGGAGATACAGCGAATGAAGAAGCGCATGACCAAATGAGCAGAGAGGAGGGCGATGGCTCTGGAGTTATGTAGGATATTTTTGAAAACATATCTGTAGATCGTTGTCATGGAAATTTCAAAGGAATCAGTTTCACTCCTCTGATGAAAAAACAGATTATTGTGAAAAAAAAAAGCATCTTAGAGGTGATGAAAACCTTCACTTGTTGGACTGAGTGGGCTATCTGAAGACGATGCTCAGATATCGGACTCTATGAGAAGCGGCAAGAATCGAGGTTTTCTATACAGATGTGGAACTTGTATTTATACAGATGTGGAACTTGTATTTATACAGATGTGGAACTTGTATTTATTCAGATGTGGATCTTGTATTTATACAGATGTGGAACTTGTATTTATACAGATGTGGAACTTGTATTCACTTCAGTAAATTAGATTTTTTTTGTCAAAGTCATGAAGGGGAAGGGAAGTCTGAGATTGTCATCATTGGAAGCTCCCATAATGACAAAATTAGTTCTCTGCATTTAACCCATCACACCTGAGATACACCCGGTGGAGCAGTGGGCAGTTATTGGGTGCCTGTGGAGCAGTTAGGAATTGGATGTGTTGCTCAGAGACACCACATGTGGGAATGGCTGGGAGTTGAATCACAACTTTCTGGTCCCAGGTCGGCTGCCCTACCTCTACCCCATCTCGCTTTAACTAAATAAACTTATTTATTTAAATAAATTTAAATTAGCATTAACACCCTAAAAATCTGTTTTTGTTTTGAGGTGGTCACAATCGTGAATATATCCTGAACTTCTCAAAGACTGGTTGAGCTGAAGGATGAAGAACAAATGGACAGAAGTGTAATTTCTTCTCAATACAGTAATGAATATAAAGCTATCACCAGCAAACTGATTTTCCATTCTGGGAGTGAGCTGTTTGTGGGTTTCAGTTTGGTTTGGTGGCTCCTCAGACTGAAGAAGTCCTTCGAATGAAGGACAAAATGTCTCAGCAACAAAAGAAACCATCCAGATGACCTGAACATTGTTGGATTTATACCTGGATTACTGAGCATGAACTTTGGTGACTAGAAAGCTACTTTATATGTGTGTGGATGGGGTGGGGCTATTGAGTCAACATGGTGGTGCAGAGGTTAGAGAAAGCAACTGTGATCGGAAGGTCACCAGTTCATCTCCCTGAACCGAGAATATCAAAATGTGAGTGGGAAAGTTGAAGCACCCACATCTGTCTCCACCCTCATTTGCCCCACTCTGGGCTCTTAAGCAAGACCCTTAACCCCCACCATCTGCTCCCCTGTGCCCTAGATAGCAGCTCTCGGCTACACGTACACACACAGGGCTGTGGTAGCTGGGTGGTCTGTGGTTGTGTCAGGAAGGGCATCTGGCATTAAAAAAAAAAACCTTCAAATCTTCATTCAAGTTATTTTGCTGTGGTGACCCCTGAAGAGGGAGCAGCTGAAACAAACAAACAAACAAACAAAAAAGATCAAATTAAGATAAGAAAGGTAAAAGTTACAGCTGTTTAAAACGTCATGTAAATATCTTATTCTATAATTCTATAATTTACCATTATCTTTAGTGTATGTTTCTACTTTTGTCAGGCTCTATTTGTGTTTTTTTATTGTTATTTATTTGTTGTAAGGCCTGTAATGTGTTTGAAATAGAATAAATTATAAATTTTAGCTTAAAACCTATACAACTGGTTTTACTGGTGGGTTTGTCTCATGACAGTTAGCCGTGGTGGGTATCTTGAATTACAGTGATTCTAAAAAATAATCAGTCATTGTTATACATCGAATAATTACTTTAAATATTTAGCTAACAGACAGATGGTTACTTAATGTGTTTGTGACATGCATATCTTACAAATACAAACTGTTGAAGTAAAAATCTTAGCATCTTAGAAATTTGGCATAATTCATGATTTCACTCATTTTATAAGTGACTGTCTTTTGAACTTGGTGCAGCTGAAGTGAAACAGGAAGTGACATCAAAGGGGAACTTCCTGGTCTTTATAGAAACATTATCTGAGCTGACTCTTCTTCATCTCTCTGATAGTGACTCAAAATAATCTAAAGGAACAGCAGATTCTTCTCTACTGTCTGTGTTGTTGCCAATGTAGCAATGCTGTTACATGCAGGTTTCCTTCTGACATCACTTCCTGTTGCTGAACATGCAAATACTTCAACATCTGTTCATCTCAGCTGCATAAAATTTATTTTGCAATACGTTATTAATGTTAGCTTTCCAAAAACACATTGATATTTATTTCAAGTATTAGACGTCACATGCACTTTAAACTAACACCCGACCATATAAATTATAATGGCCTTTATATTAGTGATATTTTGTCTTTGGAACTAGCTGACTCTTAAAATCTTTTCACCAACTATCAAAATGAATTTTATTTATTTAAAACATTTTAAATACACAAACTTTGTCTGGATTTGCTCTGATCACGTGTGAACATAATTTAGTGCTGACGATAAGTCGAGTTAAATGGCTTTTTAGTTTGCAGTGCTTAAAGTTTTACAGTCATTGTTGTGTGATGTCTAAACTGACTGTATATGTGTTTTAAATGTTTTTGATCTGCTGTCATAAAAGCCATAAGTGTCTTATTTTCGGCTTAAATAAAAATCTGAACTTTGGAAAAGAAGCTGGTCGTCTTTCACCGAACACAAAATACAGTTCATGTTGCTAAACTGAATGAACCTTGACCTTTGTTTTACAGCTGTTTTATTAGCAACTGGATGATTTTTTTTTTTTACAAGCATCATGAGTTAAACTGAAAAATAAAAATGAGGCACTTACAAAGACAGAAATGAAATTTCAGGTGATTGTCGACTGTTTTTAATGGAAAAAGTAAAATGCATCAAGTTTATCCAAAGTTTTTTAAAAGTAAAATACAAATATAATTGGTCGTTTTAAAACATTAATATACAACATACAGTATAAACAAAATACTATATTCTGTTTAAAATAAATCTGTACAGCTTCTCCTCCTGAGACCCGAGTGTGTGTTTGGTGTGCATTTTTTAAAATTTCAATAGTTGTTTGGATTATTAGGAACTCACAGACATAAAATATGTATATTGTTTTTGAAATATTGGTAATTTACAAATGTAAAATAAAAAAAAAAGCCCTCACATGAGGACAGGGATTCCAGGAGGTTAAGGAACAAATCACATTTTAGTACGTGATAATAACAGTCTGTAAATACACGCATGATGCTGCGTTGCTGTCCTGAGTGAGGTCTGGCTCAGGTTCGGTTTCAGAACTGGGACTCTTCACAGGGATGAGGCCTGAAGGTGACCTCTGTGTTTTCTTGGAGAAGAACGTCGTATCGACACAGAGCCCTGAAGAGACAAACACAGCTGTGAATACAGAAATGAGCAGATGCGTCACGCCCCTGATGCCCTGTCGTTTCTTGTTGCGTACTTCTTGTGCTCCAGGTGCGTGAGGCGAACTCTGAGGATCCGAAGGGTCCGTCTGGGCTGCAACACCTGCCCGGTGGAGAACACGATGGAGACCTTCTTCACCGACTGAATGTCTCTGTCAAACTGAGCCAGCAGTCCAGTCTCTGTGAACCTCCTGAACTCTGAGGCTTTGCTGGGAAAAACACAAACGTGTGGAAGGTTATGGTTAGCTATGGAACAAACTCACGGTCATAGAAACAGAACCTACTGATCAATTGTTGCCACGGCTTCTTTCTCGCCATCGTAGAGTTTAACGGTGATGTACCCCCAGCGCTCAGACTTGTTCCAGATCATTACATCAACCTTGTAGTTTGTCCCTGAGAGAGCACAAAACGTTACACAACATTACACTGCATCAAATGTAAATTGTATCTGCCCTTTACTGAAACAATGTTATATAGTACCCTTATATAGTATAATACATTACTATATAGTATTGTTATATAGTACTTATACAACAAACAAGATAAATCTGGTAAAACAGCTGATGCGGCTGTCAGATTTGGAAAATTCTTATTTTTATCTCCTTTTTGTTTCTGCCTACTAGATTTCACAGAAATAAATGACACAAAGCATGATTGTAATGAAACATGTCTAAAAATCTAAATAAGTTAATTTGAACAAAAATATTTGCTAAGATTTGTTTTGACAGAAAGAAACATGAGGACCGACTCTAAAAGAGACTAAATGTTCTTCTGCATTATAATTTTTCCTCTTGCATGAACCAAATAACCAAACTGGTAATTTATGTACATTTCTTCGGACGTTTTCGATGCTGTTGATTTCAAACAGTGATTCTCAAGTGCTGGGTCGCGACCTGAATCAGGGCCGTGGACCCATTTTCTTTGGGTCGTGGGCTTTGCCTGGACGATAAAAAAATTACATTCTGATCATTACATCAACCTTGTAGTTAATATTTGAGTTAATTTATTTTCCATTCAACGTTTATTTATACAGGTTAGTTCCCATTAAGCCTCGAGGACTCATTTACAAGAGTAATAATACACTTAATAATAATAACTGAATACACTTAACAAGTTAAAGCTACACATTTTTAGTCTTTTCAAAACTACTTTTCAAATCATCAAAGTTCATGCTCAGTCATCCAAGTACAAAATCTAATAATGGTCAATCAGGTCATATGGACTTTTCAAATGCTTGAATTTTAAGCTTTAACTTGTAAGCACTGTTGAATTATCCATCCATCCCGATTCTTCCATTTTGGGTAACGGGGGTCGCTGGTGCCAATGTCCTGTTGAATTAATAAAAATAAAAAAGGCAGTAGAGTGATGCCTCCCATCATTGAGGGATTTAAATTGTAAATGTTTGTATTTTTGGAGTTGAGTGTTTTTCTGGACTGGAACTGAACAGAGAATAAAAGTACACTTTACTGTTTTTGGTGCAAGATATTCATGTGGGCAGGAGTTGCACCGAATAAGAACAGATTTGTTTATTCTTTTGCTTGTTCGAGGAAGAGCAGAGTGGCGGATGCTGGCGAGAGGAGGGAGACATTTTATCCTCCAGATGCAATGGAGGAGCCATGGGGGTGGGGGTGGGGGGGCAATGGTGGGCTTGACACCCCCCCCCCCCATAAATGAATCTTCAGCCACCCCATTCATTTGAGGAAACTATAGTTTTAAGCAATATAAAAAAGAAAACTGGGAAAAATAGTTTTGTCAATGACCAGGGTGGCAGTTTATCCCATTTTTCAAAAAAAACTTTCTTACGCCTACATGTTGTTACTTAGAAGTTGCCATGATGCATGCTCAATAATCCAGGTAGAAAAATCCAAAAAAGTTCAATCTGGTCCTCTGGACATTCAAAAAAACAAGTTGTTCCACAGAACAACTGTGTCAACTCTTGAAACTGGGCCTGCAGTCAACCTACTTCACATATGGGGAGCAATATTATAGGCAGAAACATGTGTGTGCTATGGGGTCTCCAGTTTCTCCTATTGTTGCCAACCTGTACATGGAGGAGGTAGAAAAGAGAGCCTTGACGTCCTTTTCAGGGACACCACCAAGTCATTGGTTCAGGTATGTTGACGACACCTGGGTTAAAATTAAATCTCAGGAAGTCCAACATTTTACTGACCACATCAACTCTGTGGATAAATACATCAAGTTCACACGAGAATATGTAAAAAATGGCAAGTTGGCTTTCTTGGACTGTGAGGTCTCAGTCTCGGATAGAGGACATTTGCAAACCGAGGTGTACCGCAAACCCACCCACACAGACCAGTATTTGCAGTTTGACTCCCATCACCCTTTGGAGCACAAGTTAGGAGTCATCAGGACTCTGTATCACAGAGCAGACAGCATCCCTACTAGCTCGGGAGCCAGGCAGAAGGAGAAATCCTACACAAAACAGGCTCTAGAGCAATGTGGATATCCTAACTGGGCCTTCCTGAAAGCAGAGAAGAAACCCAAACAGGACTCCAGTCAGCCATCAGGTGAAAAGGAGGAACCCAGACCCAGACCAGTGGTCATTCCGTATGTTGAGGGTGTATCAGAGAAACTGAGACGTTTATTTTCTAAACATAACGTCCCAGTGGCTTTTAAACCCCAAAATACATTACGGCAAAGACTGGTTCATCCCAAAGATCCAGTCCCCCGGCACAAACAGAGTAATGTTGTGTATGCTGTTCAGTGTCAGGAGGGCTGTGATCAGTCTTACATCGGGGAAACAAAACAGCCACTGGCCAAAAGGATGGCCCAGCACAGAAGATCAACATCATCAGGCCAGGATTCTGCGGTCTACACTCATCTCCAGGCCAGCGGTCACTCTTTCAAGGATGAAGATGTTCACATCCTGGACAGAGAGGAACGATGGTTTGAGAGAGGAGTAAAGGAGGCCATCTTTGTGAAAAGAAATTGTCCATCATTAAACAGGGGTGGAGGCCTCCGGGTTCAACTGTCCCCCTCTTACAATGCTGTGATTGCTAGTATCACTCAGCCCTCTGTGAGTAGTAAACAGCCATCAGTGTGCTAATGACCCATTGTTAGGCTGATGGTCCTTCTTGAGCATGTGATCAGCTGGTTTTGGTTGTCAGCAGCAAACTGGTTGATCCACTCTAAGAAGGTGCTATTTAAGAGACTGAGCTGAAAACAGCACCTCAGACTGGGGATGTCTCTTGGATGAGAGACGAAACGTTTCTAGAATTTTTTTTGCTTTGTTTTGCTTTTGTTTTTTTGAATGTCCAGAGGACCAGATTGAACTTTTTTGGATTAGAATTTGCCACTTTATGATGTGTTGCTTCTCGTTTTTACCTGATAATTTTAATTATAACAGTTACTTACTGCAAAACGGAGATTGTTTATTTGTAGTCAAGTAGTATTTAGCTTGGGTCGATTTCAGCAGGACGTCTTTCCACAGTATTACGTCATAGCCTGAGAAGAGTAAAGAGATGAAATAGAACTTTAGTGATCCCACAGGAAATGATCTGGATCTTGACAATGGTCAGCTGTGTCTGACCGAGAGCCAGTTGGCATTTGAAAGGTTTACTTTAGTCAGAGAAAAATCTGACCAGTTATGAAACTAATGGAGTCAGTCAAACTACATCTATCCAGGTGGAGTCCTAAAATCTTTTCCCACCGTTTAATACCAAACCGTTAACCTGTGAGCTTTGCTCTTTCAGTTCCATGTCCTGTGATTCACTGTGGAAATACCTCTCCAAAACGTTGGTTACGTACTATAACCCCAGATTCTATGAGTATAGGCGTAGCCCTTTAAGGCTGTCGCTTAGTGGGTTTATCCCAATATGCAAAGCATCGCACTGAAAAATTTAGTCCACGCCCACCTGCTGTGTGGGCCCCACCCGGTCCGTATAAATTACGTTAAGAGCGGGAAATCGGCTCCCAAAAATAGCTTTTTCTTCAGCCATTTAGGAGCCAGTGAGGCCCGACGCTTAAAGGGCTACGCCTATACTCATAGAATCTGGGGTTACAGTACGTAACCGACGTTCTATTTCATATAGGCTTCGCCCTTTAAGGCTGTCGCTTAGTGGGTTAAGGGCGAAGCGGATGTTGTCCTCGCCTCACTGGGTCCATTCGAACACCGTATGAAGCAGAAGCTTGCCCAAAAAACGTCTGGTCACTCAGCTCCCCATGTGCGTAATTACGCATTGCGTAATTATGTGTGCCATGCACAGACGCATGTTGTGTAACTATGCGTTCTGAATGCATGAACGCCCCGGAAAATTCAACGGGAAGGGAAAAAAGCTGAAAAGAGCCATGAACCAACCGGTTTATGGCTGAACCATATGAACAGATTAATAATAACAGGAGAGCTGATTATTAATCAATTGAACTGATTGGTAACAATAGTCGTGAACTGATTAGTGACAATAGAACCAAAATAACAATCACAACTTGTGACTGATAACATCTCACACTGTAATGCATGCAGACAGATGTGAGTAAAACGGAGTTCCATGAAACAACAATATTCATTCTGTAAAACACTAAAGACAGAATGTGTCATGGAACGAGCCGTCACATCACGTAGATAAAAGCGAATGAATGAGCAGGGTGTTGACCACGCGGCCGCAGTGCAAAATGTCCTGCATTGCCATACCAATATGCAAAGCAGTCGAAGATGCGATACCCCTGATCGAGTGTGCTCTGAGGTTGACAGGAGGCTCTAAATCTGATGCTCTGTAGGCTTCAGAAATGGCCTCACACTGCCAATGTGACAAGCGCTGGGTGGATAACGGTCGACCTGCAGATGCATCTCTATAATGCACAAACAAATGTTGACACATTGCAACTGTGCACGCTATGTAACACGTCAACGCCCGCACCAGACAGAGATGAAAAGACGCTACTTCTTCTGATCTGTGTGTGAAGGGGGGTGGGGGGACACGGGGGGGGGGACACCCCTCCAACAATATCGCTCTTGATTTAAAAGAGCTCGTGATGTTTTAGGCATAAAAGCTGGCTTTGGTCTTAAATAAGCTGAGCTGCCGTCAGCCTGAATTCTGAGACATGACAGAGCAACAGAGAGGGCAGATAAATCACTCACTCTCTTGGCGGATGTTAAAGCCAGCAGCAGGGCTGTTTAAAGAGACAAGAATTTAAGTGGAACCTGATCCAAAGACTCAAATGGAGCTTCGATCAGGACCTGCAGGACCAGTATTAAATCCCACTGTGGAACAAGTGGGTGTGAAACAGGCCTGCGTCTCTACACCTTTTAGAAAACGCTTCATCAGCGGATGATTAAAACATGTTCTGTCTCCGAAACCTTTCGTGGCAGGAATAGATGGCTGCAGCGTACTTTTTAATCGTGCTGGACACCAAATTTCTGTCCATCAGCTGCTGCAGAAAGGACAGCATGCCACCTAATGGACATGAGGTGGCCTCTACACCCTTCTCTGTACACCAGTGCTGAAAGGCTGTCCGCTTTGATGTGTACAGCGCTGTGGTAGATGTAACACGTGAAAACAGAATTGTGCGCACTACATCCTGTGGGAGACCCATCCTCTCTTTGCGGATCCGTTCAGCGGCCAGACCCACAGGTGCTGGCCTATTTCTGGGTAACTCCTGGTCGCTCCTCCTGCCTGGAGGAGAGTATCCTCCCTCCACGGAAGTTTCCACGGGCACCCCGACAACAGGCGTTGCAGGACTGGGAACCATGGTGCGCTCACGCGTTCGGGGGCCACCAGGAGAGCTGTCAATCCCTTCTCCTGAACTCGGTTCAAGAACCGTAAATCAGAGGAGGTGGAGGAAAACACGTACAGAAGCATTTTGGGCCATGGGCTGTGGGCAAACGCATCCACCCCCAGCGGTGGTTCATCTCGTGGGCTCAGAGAAAACCATAATTGACACTGAGCGTTTCTAGTGTCACAAACAGACCCACAGCTGCTATTTCAATCTGAGTCAAAATGCTCCGTCAGAGGATGATTAAAGGTTGTTCTGTCTCCGACAACTTTGAGACAAGAAGAAAACATGGCTGCAGCATACGATAATCGTGCTGGACACCAGATTTCTGTCCATCGACTGCTGCAGAAAAGGACAGCATGTCGTACAGTGGACATGAAGTGGCCTCTACTCCTTTCTCTGTACCACAGTGCTGAAAAAACTGACCATTTGATGTGAACAGCGCTGTGGTGTTTGCAGCACGTGAATCCTGAATCGTACGCACTACATCTTGTGAGAGATACATCCTCTCAAAAAGATCCGCACAGCGGCCAGACCACAGGTGCTGGCCTATTCTGATTAACTCCTGATCGTTCCTCCCGCCTGGAGGAGAGCATCCTCCCTCCATGGCAGGTTCCATGAGCGCCCTGATAACAAGTGTCATAGGCCTGGGCACCATGATGCGTTCACGCACTTGGGGCAGAGGAGCTGACAGTCCCTCCTCCTGAGCTCGGTTCAGAAAACCGTGATACCAGAGGGAGAGAGGAAGGTGAAAAAGCATTACGACCACAGGCTGTGAGCAGGCACGTCCACCCCAGCGGTGGATCGTCCCGTGGCTCCACGATAATTATAATTGACATTGAGCGTTCTCTCGTGTTGCTACACGTCCACAGGCGCTGGCAGGATTTCTGCCGTGTCTGAGCCATAGCTCTGGGTGGAAGGTCCCAGGTCCCCGTGCCGCAAAGGACCGTCTTTGGACATCACATCCGCCCCTTGTTCGGAATACATGAGATGTACCCTACTCCAATGGAGAGCAGATTGGGTGTGCCCCACACAGCATCTGTCTCACAATGTGGCACATGGGTTGAGCGCATACATCTCCTGCCAGTATGTATGCAACAGTCACTTGCTGTCTGTGTGAATCAAAAACACCGATGATTCTGCAGTTCAAGGTCAGTGTTGAGTCACATTCAAAGAACCTGTGCGACACTCCAAAAACATTTAAATGAGCTGCTGTGTGGAGAACCACAGCACCCCCACAGCTTGTTAAATGTGTGTGCCTCTGTGAAAACTGACATGTGTGACGTAGGTCTGCTGATGGAAAACAGCTGATATCACTCAACCGGTTCACGTGAGTTGCACTGCTGCCACCTGTCTGTACAAACTGCTCAGCAGCAGCAGGTGTCCAGATAAAGCAGAATTAGAGCGGCTCGGGCACATAATGGAGTGTTGTTTCTCACAGTTCAAAAATTGACAAATCTAGAATAAATCTCATCTTTCCAGTTTGTTGGGACCAGGAAGTGATGAGAGAGGGACCTTGCATTTTCCTCTCCTTCTGAGACTCTATAAATTACATTTAAAACAGAATTTCCTGAACTTCTGCGAGAGGGGACGAGATCTGTTCAGAAATGACAGAAAACGTCACAGAGTTCCTCCACACCGGGGTTTGAGCTGTACTGCAGCGTGAATCCCCGGATTAAAAACGGTTCGCCCATCCGTCTGGAGCGTGCGCTCATTGTCACTCGTTTATAAGTTATAAAGTGGGCACGCATTTATGCTGTGAAACTCACATGCATGCTGATGTGAACTGGTGCGCGCTGAATGAGAAAGAAAACATGCGCGCCCCCGAGCATGCAAATCATTGTGTGTTTGCTGATGCTGCAGGACGCAGCTCATGTGCTGTGCTCACGTTGTGTGCAACTGATCTGTGTAAATGTTCGGGGAGCGGGTGCACGTATGAGCCGACGTGCCCTGAAGAGTCGTGTGTGTGCACCCTCATTCATGCGACGCCTTAAGCCAGGATTGCCGCGGGAGCGCACGTTGACACTGGTGCGGTCAGGAAGCAGCGCACGGCATCGGTGGGGTGAGGTTACCACTGGGCTCGGTCTGCAGAAACACGTTCATTCTTGGCTGCGAATCACGTGAACTTTTGAGTGATTCCTCGAGCTGCAGTATTATTCAGAAAACCTTCTTCGAGGATGAAGGAGCGGAGCCGCTGTGAGGCTTGTAAAACTGCTGACGCCGCGGGAGCGCGTGTTTGACACTACTGCGATGAAAAACGCATGTCACTCCTGCCGAGAGCGAGATACGTTACCGGGCTCGTATCGCAGTCTCACGTTAACGTTGACGTGAACGGCGGGCGCTGAGAGCTGCGTGCGCGCTTTCATGCCGCGGGAGCGCGTGCTGGCACTACTGACAGTGAATGAAAACAACCTTAAAAGGCTCATTCGTGATGAGTGTGTGTGATGGGGCCGCTTGTCAGATAATCCATGCTGACAGCCTGGCTAAAAGGCACTTCATCATAAAATGATGTTTATTTCACATTGTGTCATCAACACACCTCCAACAAACCGACACCTGGTTATCCTCCCTTGATCTCTGTTTGTTGTCCTGGAGGGCCCCCTGTTGGCGAAGTCCGGGAAAAAAATGAACTTCAGGATGCCGGGGATGTCTGACGGGAGGGGCTGGCGTAGCAGAGCTGGGGAGGCGTTGTGCAGCTGTGGAACATCTTGAAATGATCTCTCGCTGGTGAAAAGAGGACCTCCAACAAGCTCCTGCAGCTCTCCTGAGAGGAAGGTGGAGTGATGAGCCAGGAGAGCCTCTGGGACCTCGTTCTCCGGCTGCGATGCTGGGCGGCAGACAGCAAAAGAGACACACCGGTTGGGGATGACGTCAGCTGCCCTGTAGACGGAGCGTACTACAGGGGCTGACAGTGTCGTTAGCAAGCAGCCGCTGCGAGAGTGGAGCGAGCCGAAGGACAGAGGGCCACCGTCTCTTCCCGCCTCTGAACGTGTATGCCAACAGCGTAACGTGTTGTTCGCTGCGGCCGTGTGGAACGCATGCTGGTGAGCTCAGTTGGAGAGCGGTGTCACCGTCTCGGTTATGCTAACCGGAGGCACGGGATGCTGGTCCACCTCGACATCTTGTTCCAATGAAGCCTCCGTCAGGCTTGGCTCCAGGGGGCACTGAGGGACTTTCCGCTCGGTGAACCCCTGCTCTGGAGATGGGTGCGGACTGTGGAGACCGGACCCCCCAATCTACCAGGAAAATAACGTCTGTGGCCTCGCCCATAGGACGTTCTGTTGGGAAAACGAGGCCAGAAGGATCAAGACGGTGAGCCGGAATGGAACCTAGTAAAAACAACCTTCCCGCCGGATCATCCGAATTGGCGGGAAAGGCGTGGGACGTAAAAAAGGTCCCTTCATGTCAGCCGCCTCCTGGGTTACGCCGGGCAACCCCAGAGGGCGCCGTCGGCCGGGAGCGGTGTGATCGCCGATGCGAAACGAGGTGGGATGGAGTGAGCATTCACTCAGCCCCCCTCCACCGACACTACACTCTCCAAGAGGGAATGAGCAGCGGGGGGCTGCAGCTGAGCGCTGCCTGTCCCGGAGGAACCATTCGATTCGCTCCGAGGGTCGGCGATAAGAGGAAAATTACAAGATGGCGTTGTCCAGCGTGTAGCGACCCGTCACTGAGAAATATTCCTCGGCGCTTACCTTGAAACAAGACTGCTCGTCAGCTTCTCCTCGGGGAGGAGAACTCACCGGACGACCGGAGGTCAACTGCCGGGCCAAGCATTCTTAACAAAGGTTGGTCATCTACACAACTTTCCTTCTTCGTTCTTCTGACAGTGCTATTAGCTTGCTGAAGAAAAAATGGGAGCCGATTTCCCGCTCTTAACGTAATTTATACGGACCGGGTGGGGCCCACACAGCAGGTGGGCGTGGACTAAATTTTTCAGTGCGATGCTTTGCATATCGGGATAAACCCAGTAAGTGACAGCCTTAAAGGGCGAAGCCTATACGAAATGGAACATAAAAACTACACACATAACATGGTCAGGGATGGGAGAAAAAGGTTTGCTCTTTTCAAGTGACAAAATTGACCAAAGGCTTTCACTTGGAACTCAAACCTTCGTCATCACTATCTGTCCTTTCACTAATTGACAACTGAGCAAATTTCCAATCTGCATATGCAGTGCAAGAAAGCTAAAAACAGTTGCAACTCCTATTTTGAAATGGCATGTTAGTAAAAAGTCTCAAGCTTTTCATTCATCCAGAAATAAAGAGCTACCTCTTTATTCTCCCCCAACTAATACAGCCATAAATGATCTCCAGGTGATGGCCACTGCTCAGTCATTCATCTCATGCACAACCCAGGGAAAAAAAGAGTTTTGTCACCAACCAAAGAAAGGACACCCAGCTTCCCCAAAGTGGTCACAGTTTAGACATTTTCCATCCAGGAAGTCTTCATAGGATGAACAGGGAAATGCCCTGGAGGAACATTTTCTGTCCACGGTGTCGAGAAAAAGCATCACTGATCTCTGGTGGTCACATTTAAAATAGGATCCCCCTGTTCAGCAGGTGAGAAAGTGGATTATTGCAACCATTTCAGTTCTTTCTGCAGTAACATGTTGTTAATTAATAACATCACCAGAAAAGATGGTCTTAGGACAGCCAGGCTGGTCTGTTCCTCCATTAGCGTAGAAATCGATATGACCGAGAGGATTCCTGTATCCCAGAGCTGAAAACACACAAGATGGCTCCTGAGAACATCTCCAGTAATTACACATTCTGTAAAAATACAGACGAACCACTGAGAGGTGAAACTGAGCTGGTCAACTAAAAGAGATACAACACTTAGCTTGAAAGAGAAAAACACTAAGTAAAAGTTAAAGGAAGCGAGATAATAGCTAAAGTAGCAAACATCTAGTTAAAAGATGAAAGTAGCAGAACAGTAGCTAGAAGCTAATAGTAGAAAATGGTGGTTAAAAGCTAGAAAAAGAAAAGGCTTGCCTAAAGTATTAAAAAGCTAGTTAGAAGATAAAAGTATCAAATGTCTATGGAAAAGATAAGAGAAGCATAAAAGTCTAGATTAAAGTAACTAGGGCTAGCTAAAAGTACCAAAATTCTAGCTAAAATTAATGGAAGAATAGTAGCTAGAAACTAATAATAGCAACATGGTAGATAAAAGCTAAAAGCAACACAAGGCTTGTTATAAATATCAAAAGGTTAGTTAAAAGCTAAAACTAGCTAAGAGCTAGTTAAATGCTAAAAGTAGCAAAATGCTAGCTAAAATTAATGGTAGAATAGTAACTAGAAGCTAATAGCAAAATGGTAGATAAAAGCTAAAAGAAACACAAGGCTTGCTACAAGTATCAAAAAGGCTAGTTAAAAACTACAACTAGCTAAGAGCTAGTTAAAAGCTAAAAGTAGGAAAATGCTAGCTAAAATTTATGGTAGAATAGTAACTAGAAGCTAATAGCAAAATGGTAGATAAAAGTAAAAGAAACATAAGGCTTGCTACAAGTACCAAAAGTCTAGCTAAGCTAAAAGTAGCTAAATGTTGGCTAATAATTAGTGGTAGAAAACCAGTAACTAACCAATACTACCAAAACAGTAGCCATAAGCTACAAAAAGCTAAAAGCTTGCTAAATGTATCAAGAAACTAGATAGAAGCTAGAAGTATCAAAGAGCTACCTAAAGGCTAAAAGGATAATTGAAAAATGCAAAATGGTTAAAAGTCAAATGTAGGAAACAAAAAAGTTCAAGTAGCTATATCTAAAAGCTACAAGTCACAACACACTAGAATGACAAAATAGCAAAAGACAAGTTAAAAGTTAAGAACAGTAATGCTTATGTCGAACTATAGAAAAGTTACAAAAACACAAGTCATAGTATACATTTCCTGAATGAGCTGATTTCTATGAATAGCTACCCCCACCCACACACACTGTTTACTGACAGTTGTATAGTGAAATCATGAGAAATTCAATAGTTAAACTGACCATCTATGTCTGTGTGCAGCACATCTACAAACTGAGCGTCTGTCGGGTCCAGTCGATGTTCTGGAGGCTTGTCATTGAAGAGCGGCCCAGCAGCATCCAGACCTGGAAACACAACCATGTTACAGTAGGCTTGCCCACATGCATACTGTTACATAACATCTCAGGAATTTCAACAAAACTGCTGCTTTTGGCTTTTTTCAGTGGGATGTTTGTCCAAACCAGAAGGTTTGGGAAACTTTTTTGGGAAAGACTTTGTGTCACTGAATTTTTATTTTGTAATCTTCTCTTAGAAAATAAAATAAACTCTCAATAAGTTCTTTAAAGTATTTTAAAGGATCTCTAACTAGTTGGAACAATAGACTTTATTCAATAAACAATTACTTCAGCTATAAAAAGGAGACTGTAAAAATAGTGTAGCTGTCAGGTTTCTCCAGTGCAAGCTCCATTCAGCTTGAATGCTAATTTTAGACATTAACTGACGTTCAGCATTTTAATTTTAACTGGAGAATATTGACAGAGAGGAGAATGGAGAAATGAAAATGCATTTGTGTTAGATTCAGAGCTAATATATATATATATATATATATATATATATATATATATATATATATATATATACAGGTCCTTCTAAAAAAATTAGCATATTGTGATAAAGGTCATTATTTTCCATAATGTAATGATAAAAATGAAACTTTCATATATTTCAGATTCATTGCACACCAACTGAAATATTTCAGGTCTTTAATTGTTTTAATGATGATTATGGCATACAGCTCATGAAAACCCAAAATGCCTGTCTCAAAAAATTAGCATATCATGAAAAGGTTCTCTAAACAAGCTATTAACCTAACCATCTGAATCAACGACGTAACTCTAAACACCTGCAAAAGATTCCTGAGGCTTTTAAAAACTCCCAGCCTTGTTCATTACTCAAAACCGCAATCATGGGTAAGACTGCCGACCTGACTGCTGTCCAGAAGGCCATCATTGACACCCTAAAGCAAGAGGGTAAGACACAGAAAGAAATTGCTGAACGTATAGGCTGTTCCCAGAGTGCTGTATCAAGGCACCTCAGTGGGAAGTCTGTGGGAAGGGAAAAGTGTGGCAGAAAACGCTGCACAACGAGAAGAGGTGACTGGACCCTGAGGAGATTGTGGAGAAGGGCCGATTCCAGACCTTGTTGGACCTGCGGAAGCAGTGGACTGAGTCTGGAGTAGAAATATCCAGAGCCACCGTGCACAGGTGTGTGCAGGAAATGGGCTACAGGTGCCACATTCCCCAGGTCATTCACTTTTGAACAAGAGACTGCGTCAGAAGCATCTTGCCTGGGACTGCTGCTGAGTGGTCCAAAGTTATGTTCTCCAATTACAGTAAATTTTGCATTTCCTTTGGAAATCAAGGTCCCAGAGTCTGGAGGAAGAGAGGAGACACAGAATTAACATTGCTTGAGGTCCAGTGTCAAGTTTCCACAGTCACTGGGGTGTCATGTCATCTGCTGGTGTTGGTCCACTGTGTTTTATCAAGGGCAGGGTCAATGCAGCTAGCTATCAGGAGGTTTTGGAGCACTTCATGCTTCCATCTGCTGAAAAGCTTTATGGAGATGAAGATTTCATTTTTCAGCACGACCTGGCACCTGCTCACAGTGCCAAAACCACTGGTAAATTGTTTACTGACCAAGGTATTATTGTGTTCAATTGGCCTGCCAACTCTCCTGACCTGAACCCCATAGAGAACCTGTGGGATATTGTGAAGAGAAAGTTGAGAGATGCAAGACCCAACACTCTGAATGAGCTTAAGGCCGCTATCGAAGCATCCTGGGCCTCCATAACACCTCAGCAGTGCCACAGGCTGATTGCCTCCATGCCACGCCGCATTGAAGCAGTCATTCATGCAAAAGGAATCCCGACCAAGTATTGAGTGCATAACTGAACATGATTATTTGAAGGTTGATGTTTTTTGTATTAAAAACACTTGGCTTTCATTGGTGGGATGAAATATGCTAATTTTTTGGGACAGGCATTTTGGGTTTTCATGAGCTGTATGCCATAATCATCAGTATTAAAACAATT